ACAATTTGATCGATCTTTTGACTCGCTTCGAGTATCCATTCTCGTATGCGCCTCGACGCGTAATAGTATTACCTGTAAAAATTCATTGCCCAGGTATTTATTAACCCAAATTTTCTGATCACTTCTGTGACTTCCCGTGTGTGACGAAGCCTATTACGGGTCTTCTTAACTTCGTAGCGTTCTACACTCGTTTAGCTACTCCATCATTTTGCTCTCTGATAACCCTCGGCAGGATTATTGCATCTCCATGCCGCCTGAAGATAGAATCATTCTACATTTGCTACGCACTCTTTTGATAGCTGAAATCACTCTAACGAACTGTACAGCTGGTGAAGTGGTTGAAATGATAAAGAGAAGCCTTACAATTATTGCTTCCGTCATGAACAACTCAGAATGGCAAGAAGGCCGATGTTAACATTTTCGAGTTTCTAACAGTTCCCATGATACATGAAGCTCTCTAGGGGATTACTGAGGCGGTCTGATGCAGTCCGCATTCGATGTAATGGGCCATACCTACTGCCGCAGAAAAATGGTACATTAACATTAGCGCAAGGTCAGATCTATGTAGCCGCCTTAATAACACAGTCATCTGTACCACTTGACATTAGAACAATCATTATTGCAAATATCAGATAAACTCTTATCATACTCATTTCAATATTCATGTTATATATTCAAGCTTCATTCTAACCTTTTGTGAAGGCATATAGGGTGAGAAGTTTCCAGGCATTGCAAACGAATCTGCGGTTTTGCATGGACGATCTAAAAAATGAACTCTCAAGAACGTCACAAGGTGTATGTTTGGCTGTGGAGTCGTTGTCCTACTACGAGAGGGTGAGTTTGCGGCTTTGTCAGTTTGCTCGAAAATGTGATGTGCGGGTATTTTTTCTTTTTTTCCTTTCTGTGTTCCTCTCCTGAACTTCAGTAGATAATAGAAAGTGTCCGGAAAGGGTTGAGAAAATTATGCCGCTCAACTGTGAAAGCATTTTACTCTCGAACGCGCTAAGGAAGAACTACACATCCGGTAGCAGGAAAAAGGCGTTGTTAATAGATCAATACTATGGCTGACCCATGTTTGACGTAGTCGTTCCAAGTAAGTAATCATCGTCCGAAGATGTGCCATCGATAAGACTATCGGAGCCCCCTGCCTCACCATTACGAAGCTGATCGCCTCGACACTCAGGCTTGGAATGAGATATGGTGATTGGTTGGCAGCTTGTAACGTAGCACAAATGGTACGGTCACTTCTTCTGGGAACAGATTTGCTGCGATGTCCTCGAGACCACTGTCCTCAAATGCCGTCGCTGTTCTGGCCTCTCGTCGTAGCACCTCTCTTCAAAATGTCAGAAAATGGAAAAGACGCTCTCTACACCCCGATCCATCATCCACGACGCTTCACGCAAAAGTCACTTTTGAAGCAGGACATTTTGCAAATATCGCACACTCCTTGACTAAGACGAGCCAGTGTGTGTCAGAAGCTCCTCGACTATAAGTGAACGACGACATCAGCCGAGTTAATTACTCGGGTTTAAAAGTAGATGTCATATAAATAGTATCTACACAGATAACCACGGTGCCTACCAGTGGACGTAAGGGCGCAGCTCGCTACAAGGCGAGGCGCTTACGCCGAGAAGGCCATGAACTCATTCTTCCTCTGCTGGATCGAGTAAACGGTAAACGCAAGAATATCCCGTTGACAACTGAGAGAGATGGTGTTTCGAGCCCCCATTTCACACCGATTACAGTAGCAGTTATGAAGGTAATGGATAATGCTCGACCACCCCCCGTGAGGACGTCGATATTTGTGCTGGAAAGGCTTGGTATGAATTGAGCACCTCACTCCACACATATTCAGCTGACCTCGGCCAATATGACTGTCATGCTTTCAGGAGCCCACAGGCCTGCTCTAAAGGGAAAAAACTCAACGATCGTTAGAAAGTGACGTATAAATGATTTGCGTCGCACCTCTCTTTTTTTAGGAGGAATGGCATGAGTGCCCTGTTCGGTTGATGGAGGGGCATCGTGGCTAAAAGGCCACTACCTTGATCGCTGATCTACGTTTATTGTTGTAGTTATTTTGTGTTGAAGAACCGACTGAATTTTCTCGAAACTTCACAGACACCCTAGTACATTAACGCAATGTACATCTCGGGCATCATCTATTGATCTCTCCTTTTCTATCGTTAGGCCGTGGAACTTGTCTTAGCTTTCTATTCTGCACCACTGAGGAGAATCTCCGTGGATAAAATGTTCTAGAGTTTAACAAGGCATAGGGTTTTTATACATATATGGAGAACATTTTTGTTTTTAATGTTGTTTTTTCTGCTGTTATATGCAGGCACTCGTCACTTCTAGCTATTTTAAGGAGTTTCGGGTCGTCCACGGTTCACGAATAAGCCACGATTGGAAATGGAGGAGTAACGTTCTCGGGTGAGTGCTCCAATAAAAAAAAACAATGGATGATCCAATATGAAAGAATGGAATGTTCGAACAGATAATGTGAAGGGCAGCAGAGCTACTCAAGCAGGATTGAGCATATTTTAAGAGTTTTCCCCGGACCATTGCTTGCTACCTACGTCAAGCCTAGCACCGTAATTTGGCTTCGAGAACGGGAGTGAATTTTGTCTGACAATTGAAGGATACAAGATCGCAGCGGCCATTCAAGATGAGATGTGCCGACGTAAATACTTCCAAACGCTGACTTTAAATCCGGGTTCTAAATCTGCGAAGCGGTTGTGGGGAAAAGCGGTCCGTTCTTCTCATGCGTTATGCCACTGATATGCTCTTATAAGCGAACCGAGCACTGGTAGATCGTGCGACGGTAGCGCAGTTGGGAGGGTGGTGGAGTAATAGGCGTGACAGGGAGGTTCAGATCCTTTGCGCAGGTGCTTGTTTTGATTTGTTACAAAGTGTCCTCAACGTTTGCAGTACCCTTTTGCGCATCATATAGACTACCTATAGAACTCCTACATGTTTAGGAAATCCCAGAACAACTTATGCAAGTAAATTTTGTCGTTGCCTGCACAGACCGAATAGGAGTGCACATTCGCCATTCTACTTCGGGCGCTCATTATGTGGTTGCTAAATTCGGCAGAAACTTATGCTGGATTGGGTTGATCTTGCGTTGGATCAACAGATTTGCCTTTATCCCTGCTGACTGCCGACTCATGGAGCTCGTTGAAGGACCATAAAGCAATTCAGAAAGCTTTGCCAGCTGGCTCGGCTGTGGAAGTACTCAATGTTTCACCTGGTAATGGTAAGAAAATGGTACAAATGATGAGGAAAAATATACATTGAGAGGCTCAATCTGAGAAGATGCGATACTAGGCCGTTGCGTTCCACTTCTCTCACAGCGATCAACCGACACTTGCTTCACCGTTCACTGCTTGCACCGTTCCAAATTTTCTTGGCACTCATGACAGACGATAGCTGGGTAAGAGCAGCCACAGCCCCCTACTTTTCCTTTACCCGCCGCCACTTGATTTTTGCAGGCCTACCCCTTTAAAATTATGTCTTTCAGTGGCTATGGCCAAGATGTTTCCCCGCAGTGTGAAATTCATTGAGAAGGATTCTTGCAGCACAATGCGGGAAACTCATTGTAGCTCACATGTATGGCCGGCCAACATAGCCGGAGTTTTCATGATATCGCAATTTTCACCAGATCGTAGCTCATCTTCCACCTTCTTGTTTCTGACCCTGAAAAAATAGGTGTTCATAGTATCGCTTTGAAGGGGCCTCAAGGCTTGACATTCGACAGGTTTTCTTTTTTCTTTTTTTAGCGTCGAATGTGGGAGAGCATTGGCCATTACAGGGGATTCCATAAACAGGGAATGGGCAACAATGGAAACCTCCACGACATTCTTAAAAAACCGGAAGGTGGATGCTCCCACCGGCCATTACATTCAATGAAGGAGGAGAATGGACCTGAACTTGACCTCAAATGTCATGCAGTTTCTCATTCACCCATCGCTGCATCAGATGTTCTGCATCTGTTTCGTAAGCAGCTCACAATGGTTATGGGTTATGGCGTTAAAATCTCCGTTGACGCTGAACTGCGCCGTTCTTTAAGAATTTGTTTTGCACATTCAATCGTCTATTGGTGGAGCGAAGCTTTCGTATGAGAACATTAGGAACACATAGATTCGGTGACTTCTAATAATATGTCACCGCTGTGTTTTTTCTTTGTAGACGACTCATTTCAAATTAGAACTAAGCCTTCTAACTAATTGCATTCAGCAATAGTCATGAAATTGATAGTTTGGTGAAACATTTACTGCGGTTTTCTGATCGTATTAAGTTACGATTATTCTTCCACAAAAGGATGCTCGCGGAGGTAGAGCACGTGGTACCGAAAAGGGGCCGAAAAAGGGATTCCGAGTGTACGATTGATGAACATCCTGGAAACAAGCGAGGCCGGTGAATGTTTGACGGGCGCCTAGAGCAACTTTCTCTAACCGCGCTGATCAAATGCAGGGGTTCATGGGGGTAAACGACAGCTAAACTATTTAGCCTGCTTTCACCAAGTCAAAGTGAAGAGGCCCTGTCACGTCCCAAAAAACTGTCAGACTATGCATGTGATACTTCAGGCTAGTATCTTCTTCAGTGAAGCGATTGAACGAATTGTGTCGTTGATCGGTGAACAGTGCATCCAGCGATAGGTCGAAAACAATTTCAGCCGCTGCCCTTGCGTTTTCCCCTTGGCGTGCCTAGTAGATGATGCTACGCGTCGACTGTTGTTAATTGATTGATAAAGTCGCAAAAGCCCACATGCCTGTGTTTGTTTACTCATATGTTGATTGCCTGGAGATGAAATAGAAATGTTCTAGAAGTTTATCACCCTAGTTTTCTTGTTCACGTTGTATATAAAACTTTTTACCGCTTTGAATTTTTTGTATCAGGGCTTTATTGCCAGCCTAATATGGTTTCTTAGGAGCGATTTCTTTTTCAAACATGAAGTTGGTGATTTTTTCAGAGTGTTCAAGGTGCGGGAGAATCAAACAATGGCCGAGATCGTCAATACGGTCGTCAACAACTACGATCTCGACAAAAATCTGCTGAGAATAACCTGCTCCTGTGGCGGCGAAGAATTTGCGCCAGCTAAGTCGTTTCCTGATATCAAGGAGAAACTTCGAGAGGTTGGACATCCTCACTACATTGACCTCTAAGTAAATGTTTTTGGAACTCCATATATTGGGTTGTAAGGAAAGTTTCCGACGATTTTGAACGTCCTCGGTTTATCAACTGCTGTACAAAAGATCAGGTACCTAACTTCAGAAAGTTATGTTTTCTGGAAGAGTAGTTCCTCCTCTATGTTCGCGTTGGATTCTACGAACATTTTTCACAGTTTCTCTCTACAGGACTCGGGTGGAAATTGAGAACCATTGCGTGCATCTCAGCATCTGAAGCTTTTCTTCAATCGCAAGGCCTAGAATGCGGCTCAAGCTGCGAGAAAGATCTGTGACGTTGGAGTAGACAATGTTCCAAAGAAACGTATAGTGCGTGATTGGTTTGCGAAATGCAAACAGAGCTAATTCACTTTCGAAGACCGGCAACCCTCAAGGAGGCTATCATCAGTTAAAACAACCAGATCAAAATGGTAACGGAAGGGAATAGCACAACACTACTCGTAGAGTAGGACAAAGGCTTGGTGTTTCGAAATTAACCATCCATGATCATCTGCTGGAACTTGGTTTTGTAAAGCGCCTTGATTTTCGGGTACCCCGAAAACTGAGTGAGCGTAACGTATTGGACCCGCGCCTCCGTGTGCGACTCGTTGCTTGAACGAAATAAAAATGAGCTGTTTCTAAAACGCATGAGTACGGAGGACGAAATGTGGATTGTGTACAATAACGAGGAGCCTCCCCAGTAAGCCGTTACAACCCGCTGCAAAAGTCAAAATTCAGATACGGAAGATTATGCTGTGCTGCTGGTGGGATTGGAGGGAAATCACATACCATGATCACATAATCAAACGATAACTTCTAAAAGGTACTATATTTAGCTAGATAATTTGGAGGCAGCGATAGACCAGAAGCGACCCGAACTGGCCAACCGTGAGGGCTTTGTCTTCCAGCAGGATACCTCCAGACCACTTGTATTTGTGGTCACTTGTGAAAAATTGTGTTGGAGCTTGGGTGGGATGTCTTACCACATCCCCATATAGTCCGGACATAAAACGATCAGAGTATCACTTGTTTAGGATTCTGCAGATTCCCCTGAATGAGAGATGGCGAATCCTCACTGAACAGATTGGAGGATATATCGTTTAATTAATGGGTTTGTTCGTCTAGGAATTTTCACTCAAAAATGAATCAAAAATCGGCGGAGAATCTCCGGGCAACCCAGTATTTGCTCGTGCGCTGTGGCCTATACACTTACCTGAGCAAAACTTTTTCCAACCTAGTGATGATCAAGTTTTGCTCATTGGGATTCGAGTTTTGCAGGGACCCGTAAAACACCTTTCCAGGTTCTCCATGCTGTTCTTTCGTCCTGCCCAGTTCCGCTACTCCCATCAATAGCATTGGTCGAGCAAATTGTGAAAACGTTTCTCGAATCAGACGTTCGGCTTCCGTTTCCTTCACGAAGCAGTGGCGATGACATATTTGGCTTCTACCCACTTCTTCGAGACTTCAATTTCCACTTTCATAACATCAAAGATATCATTCAATCCGATTTCCAAGGTATTTCTTCCTGACACATCCATTAGATATCAAACAAGCTCAAAGTTCCTTTCTCTCAACATATGACCTATTTGTGCATTATGCAGTATTTTCCTAGCTATTCATATTTCTAGGCTTGCAAGTGTCCTTCGCCAGCTTGAATGCGGAACATCTGCGTGAGCTCGAAGAGTTCCTTGGTCCATTTCAAGAAACTTTCGAATCTTTGGCTCAAGAACAACCGAATTTTCACAAGGTTCGGATTGCTAGTTCAGCCGCTTCCATAAAAATTGCGAAAAAATCTGTTTAGGTGCTGCCAGAATGGTATGCGCTGATGCATGAATGCCATCCTTCTTCCGAGGAAACACTACCGTTACTACGTGAACTAAAACTGGTGCGTTAATTCACCCTTATCGAATATATCTGCTCAATTTAATTGCGATGTATTTTAGAAGGCTAGTGAGCTTCTAGTTCGAGAACAAACCTCAACAATTACAGTGGAGCATCGAATCGCGGCAATTCTGAATCCACGGCATAACAGAAAACTGAATCTTATTTGCACAGATCATGAGCGGTAAGCTCGCGATTCTTTTATCATAGGTGAACTGATCACACCTCTAAAACCAAGCAATAATAACCATTGTGGTAATTAGGAAATGTTTGGAAACACTATTACATCGCCTGTTCTTCGATATATCTCGAGCGTTTTTACACGTTCTCTGGCAGCCGCACGATTGTGTACGGTATCCTTCAGAGACATGGAGAGGGCACATCTCCCACTTTCTGTATTTTCCTTGCTCCAAGCCTGCCTTGATAGTATAGCACATTTGCTGCCATCCTATTATTGAGCTCCTGGTCTCTAGATCCTAGAATGGCTATCTTCTTTCTATTTATTGCTCATCATCCGACTTTTGAAACTGACCGCAGCGAAAAGCGAAGAGTCGTGTTCTGAACCAAATTTTGAAGAAGTGAAATTAACCAGAGTTAGATGATCTTGGAAAGAGAACGCAGAGTCAGCCCGAGGAAATGTTTGTTTTGCCATAGGTCAGATAAGTGACGCCGGAGTGAGTATTTTGCGCCTCCAGTAATGTTTTGGCAATGTTAGATTGCTATCCATAGTTNGTGTTTTTTGACTAGATGAACCGGAATTTAGTGGGAGTGTGGGTTTCCCGGGAAAGCATTCTAACGAAGTGGAGGGGAACAATACTACCCTAAAATGCTCAAGGAAGTAGCAAATTGTCAGGATGTTCTACGAAAAGCACTTGGAGGGTTGGGGAAATTTTGAACTGAGCATCCAGTCATCGCGCACCTGAGTACAAAATAACCTTAGTCAGATGCGAAAATTAAATGTCACCAGGCTGCTCCCAGGTCGTAATTAAGTGTGTAAAAAAAATGAAGAAATGAAGAGGGCAATAAAACAGTGAAGCGTTGAGAGAAGAAGTAGCCTCGAAGGAAGAGAATTTGTGCACCAGATATCATAACATCAAATAGTTGATGTAGTGGCCACTAAATGTTGAATAGTCATTAAATACCATCTGGCTTAAGAGTTGGGCTATTTCACACCTTTTACAGGATTTCCAGAGATATGGGGCAGGATACAGCGCCAGTAGAGGTCGCAAGAACTATATCACCACCGATCCATTCAGGATTACTCATTCGATACGAGCGATTTCTTCCACCCTTCAACCTTTACACTTGCGCAATCCTCGGTTCGAGAACCTCATACCTCGAGATCCTGCATGCAACCTTCCTTCATGCACCTACATCCAGCGCTAAATCCTTGGCTTCACCTCTCCTAAAATTTATACCTCGTCACTAGCAATGATATACATTTGGTAGATATACTTCTCTCCTCAAAGCACCTCGATCCCTTGCAGTGTGTAATTCAACCTTCGCATACATACACTTAATTCTTGCTCGAAACCAAGTTTTTTTTTTTTGCTCTAAACGCCGGACTTTCTTACTGCTGCTGTCATCATACATCTTCAACACTCCATCTGCCCGTTCGCTCATGAAAGATGTGAAAGATGAGAACAGCATAATGGGCATCACGTTTTCTAGGCGAAAAGTGACCCTCCCGTGCAAAGGTCCGTACACCCATATGAAGGCAGGGTTCGTTAAAAAATTAAGAGCAAAGCGAGCAGAAGGTGCAAGATTACAACTACAATACCTGAAAACACTTGGTTTAGGATCAAAATTGAGGGCTAAGAACAAAACTGAAACATAAAATAAATTAATGCTTTGCATAACATAGCGTCACCACCTAGTACGGCAGGAATAGCCGGGATGTACAAAGAAGAAAATGTTACAGGATATGAAATGCAGTCGAAAAATTACTCATCAGTTGCTGACAGAAATAATTCTGGTTTCCTCCTCAAATCAAACAAGGATCATGATACAAAAATGCTCACGATAACTGGTGGGAATCTAGAAAGAAAACCTGCTTATCTGAAGCCTCAGCTGCTTAGTAGTAGCGAATTAAGCAATATAAATAAATTGTTAGTTGGTTGCAGCAGTAGAATAAAACCAGCGCAATACTAGACGAATTCGGCAAAGATCCGAGGAATAACCACACAGACGAATAATGCAGTGAATAGCGGAGTAACGGTCTACATGACCATCGGCTCCCCAGCGCAATTCTAGGGGTGGATTTATCCCCCGCACTAGGTAGGGAGGCCTTTCTTCCCAGGGTGGGGAGTGAATGGGATCGTGTTTCTCTGAGCTTTCGCTCAGATAAGGTCGCAGAGGCAAACGTCACATGGGAGGGGCTGTCGATTCTTCACCTGCTTATGGGAAAATCTTTGCTCCAATGCAACTATCTTGACACAGAACAAAGGAAAAACACCATTCAAATGTTCGCGCCCTTCATAACACTTCCTTGGGAAGACTCTTCCCTGGCTGGGTAACGGAACTTCTCCCCGATTGCGGCATTCTCCCTTGCGGCATGCGGCAAATGTCACTGCAATTACCGTACTCACCCCGCCTCCCGCAAATCGATAGGATGCGATGTTTTTCCTTGAATTGCTTGCTTTTTCATTGGATTTCATCGTTTTTTCTTCTGTTTCTTTTTAGTTTTCATGTTTATTAGACTTGATTAATTAAAATGACTCCTCCTATATAAACGACGATCAAGACCGCATTGGAATTGAAAAGAGCGGCCAGCCAATTCAGATAATTAAAGGTCTCCCTACCTCACAAATTGCGCGCTCCAATATTCCATCGCAATCCTGCGATAGGTGGCGGGTGCGGCGTGTGCGACGCCGTGTTAGGGGAGAAGTTCCCGCACCCTCCCTGCCCTACTCTGGGCGTTATGCATACAGCCCTTTATCTAGCTGAGTTTTTCGTTTTTGTATCTTGCTTGCTCATGTAGGGTGCTAGAAGGGCGCTCCGATGCCGTAAACAATTTAGATCACCCTTTTATAGGCATCACGTGCCTCGTTCTTTAAGCATGTTCACCACGATCAAAATGCTACAGTCAAAGGAATTTGAAAGAACCGAATGGATTGAACTGCCTTAGTCATACTCATATGTGTCATCGTGTAATCATTTCAATTTCCAGGTCCCATGCGTGCGAAAGGATACGTGCCCTCTGTGGAATTCGAACCCAACGTGAACCGCTTAGTCGCGATAGCTCTGTCGAAGGGGAACCGCATCGAAAACGACGTCTTTTCTTGAATTCTCTGGAAGATGATCCAATTGGTGACGATGAACTTGAGTGCTACCTCCGATCGCAATATCCAGCGCAGCAAACAAAGTAATTCAGAGAATTCAGTTCATTATTGTCGTATGTAGTTGTTTATTGATCTTGTTTCAGGGACGTGGTTTCATTTTGGAGTACTGTCGGTCAGGCCCAGTTTCCATCACTTGCCTCTTTAGCGCGAAGAATTCTTTCTGTACCGGCGCTGGCACCAAAGACCACATTCGAGGAACGACATGCCAGTGTGCAACCTGAACAATTACATACGTTCCTCATGCTGCGTTCGATGTTCGACACGGAGAGGGAAGAGTAACTGACACCCGCAGGGACAAGTTGTTAATCACGAAGATGACTAGCGATCGCACCTCATCGTCGCAAAAGCTCGTGACTTAAATACTGCAAAGGATGCCTCTCTGATGATTTTCTGATTCGCCTAATTGAAGAACCGAAATTCATCAGATCGAGTTCAACAATCAGATGTCGACGGCCTAAGAAACTTCTCCTCACGAGACCTGTTTTCAAGTGTTACAAAGAGAAATTCTATGCACAGGTTGACGTTTGCCTGCCTTTTCTCTGCGACTCAAAGCAATAATCTAATTGAATTTGTTGTCTGCTTTAAGGAAATCATTGAAGCTATTTGTTTATAGTAGGAATTAGTGAGAATATTGTACAGAGAAAAATATTTTTTCAAGATCCAGTCTGAGTTAGTTACGCGTCAGCTCGGCTTTACTTCACATTTTCGGGGATTTTCCATCTCTCATATGTATATTTCTTTTCTTGACATCACATACGAGTATCGTGCCATATGAGTGCTGGTCATGATCGTATTGAGTTTGACGATATACTACGGATTTTACCATTAGGAACTAATCACACTTCTGTAGTTCTGCGAGGCGGCAACGTGACATGCTCGAATCTGCGGTACGGTTTCCCCCTTGGAGCCTTCTCATGCCGGTTCTCTAATTTGAATTTTGAATTTCGAGTCTACAAGGGACATATCCATTGTATAAGCCTAAACCACCTCGCAGCTACAAAAGCGACTTCAAAAGTACACTGTTTAGGTAGCAAGCGCTAGCAATTGAATTTCCAGAAATATTTGTCAATGCAGTAGCCTCTGTTCGACCCCGAATCAGCACTGACGGATCTCATCACATATCATTTTTTTTNTTTTTTTTCGAGAATGCATTCAATTTCTATTTTGTGATAGTAAATAAAGTCTATTTCGTCTGTGCGTTCGTGCCTTTCCACCCCCAGTCAGACTTAGTAACATATGGATTACTATTCAGTGTCCAAGTTTGTGAGAGGTCTATATAGTGCTTCCGGGGCTCAATGTAAAAACCTCATGTACGGTCCGCATAGTAGGACTTTGGATATCGTATTGGATCTCTTCCATTCTGCAGCATGGAAGATTTTTTTACATTAAGTCGCTTCACCTAGCGTTCCCTGATCATTAAGACAAATGATGCAACACCCTGCGTCATTGGAGTGAAGAGATAGTTTTGAAAATTCATATGGAACCCGCATATGATATGAAATTTCATTGAGTCTGAAGGGTCCAGTCTGTGTTTGAGAAGCCCTCCCTCTCCGTTCCATACGATCCTTTCGATTTACATTTAAAACTGCAAAGCCGTTTTGATTCCGCACATGGGCTATTCAGCTCTGCAATATTTCTCACCTAGCCGAGTAGAGAACCAATAATTCGATTACGAAGGAATGAGTGTTTGATTTTGGCGAGTATTTAATCAGAATTCGATCTGGGGACCACCTCACTCTAAAAAAACGTGTTATTTCTCGTGTGGTGATGGACAAAACACCATCAAGGAGTTGAAAACTTCATGTGGAGTGAGATCTGTTATCATAATACGATCCCTCAGTTTCCATCAAGATTTGCAAAAATACGATGTTCATGAAGACTGACCGAATATGTACCGCTTACGACTGTAGAAGTGATGTTCTTCCGGTGTTCCCGCCTTTCTTTCCCCTGTTGACTTGATTGCAGCAATCTGCCTGGGTCGGGTATGCCATTTTGATTATCAACACACGTCGCCGCGACCGTTATCACTTCACGTGACGTCTCAAACGGTATCGGTGTTTGTTCCTTTTTTTTCGAGCTCGATTTGGTTTTTATGTTTTTCACTTTCTGAAATGAAAACGCCTAACCAAAGCTATCAATTATCTTAACCGCTTCCATTGCTGAACAGTTCTGTCATAAAAGCACTTAATATAATGAAAACTAAATATTAGTTATTGATCGCCACGGAATGCCTTCCTTATCTGTCCTCTGCGGGTTCATTTTGTTTGTGTCTCGAACGCTTCGAACTTTGCTGTTGAAAATCCGATACTGAGTCTGACGTTTAACGATTTCGCTGGTGATCTGATTCTGAGGTTCATGACTTCATTTACTTCCTGGTTGAATTTTGTCTTGTCTAGTTGGTATCAGTGTGACACATCTCCTCGCTGTGGAATCAGTATGTAAACAAACATATCGTTGCAAGGAGGTTGTTAAGTTACAGTATTTATTGTGGTGGGCCAACTATTAGCCAATTAACTCAGAAATTTTTGACATAGAATGGCTAATAGCAATATAGCACATTGTGAGAAAAAATGATTACCTTTTCCCTACAGAGAAGGATTTCGGAAAGCACAAGTTAGGGCAGAGGTCCCATCTGGCCAGAGTTTCAGCCTAAAATCACCACCGTCATGAAATTTTTGGAATGCATACTGCAAAATAACAACATCTGGTGAAACATGAAGCCAAACAAAAGATGTCTATCCAGTTATATACATAAAGTACTTAGGTACCCGGCAACGAATCTAAATCACTCTTCAAAATAGGTAGTTACACTTCGAGATGAATATTCGAGGCACTTTGAAAAAAAAACAGTCACACAGTCGTCAACCTAATAACAGGAGGCGGATGGGATGATTTTTCTGCAGTTCATAAGTGGGCATCTGGAGGGGTTGAGTGNAGAAGATAATCTGATTTAATAAGTGTCAAGCCAATTGATTACTCATCTGCATAGAACGTTCTGGAGAACATTCTCCTCATGAATTTATGTGTAACTTTTTGTGAAAAGTAACTTTCAATTCAAGTAGCAAAAGTTGTGAAGAAGTCGATCCTAGGTGAAGATCGATATTCAAAAATTGACTTATGTATCTAATGAGGAATAGTAGATGTCTTGCTCGAGTTATGTGATATCGATCACGAGCAGGCATAACTGAAAATGGCTCTCGGAACAGATTGACGACAAACGCGTTGTGGGAAAAAAGTTGCTAGAGGCCAGCATGCTTGTCTTCCCACCAATGACCGCAGCTCCTATGTAATCTGCATTACCCAGTGCAGCCATTTTTTGAGTCCATTTGGGGATGTTTATTTTTTGATCGTAGGCTTGGGGATCATTCAATAATGGGCTCAGTTATGTCTAGAGATCATTTGAGGAGGTTCCAGGTCTTGCATCTAACCGATAAGAGCGACGATGGTAACGGCGATCATCTTTTCAAATTATCTCTTTTTTTCTCTTTTTTTTGATTTTTTCAACGAACAATGCAAGAAGAACGTGGTACCAAAAGCCTCTGCATTGATCAGTCAATAGTGCTTGCCTTTAGAATTCAATTCAAGAACTATATTCTCTTGAAGAGGCACATATGTGCTATTAAACGTAAAGCTCTTACAATAAAAGATTTTCTGACACTACGCAGTATATATCTTTACTTAGATCTGACACTCCGAGAAAAAAGTGACAAGAAATGGAAATATGAGTAAATAAATCAAAAAACAGATGTTGTCCTTATGAGGAATACATGGGTCCACGCGGCCAAGTGTAGTCCACATGTGGACTACATTGTTGTCGATGTGCTCAACAAGAAGCGGTATTAGAGGTGAACATGAACAAACATCAGCGGTATTTGTTGAGAATACTGTATAGGAATGGGTATCATTATAAAGAAGTCGGGCATTCATGACTAGTGGAGCGTAAACGCAACAATTAACAGATAGTAATGCACGTTGACGGTGATGAGATGAGATTGTGTGGATTTCATCACCATCTTCGGAAGTTTGTCAGCTTGCAAGACAGCAAATTGTTTCCCAGAAACCATGTACCCAAAACAAGCTCTCATCCAAAAATTATCACTCCGCGGAAGTGTCAGCGATCTGTTTCCGGTTTCGATACAACTCGTTGCGTGCTTTTCGCGCAACCAAGATTTTGCCCAAAGACACGGGCCTATCTACATTTGCTTTACGACTTGGGCATTTTGAATAGGTAGGTCAGTACATAGGGCGTGAGAAAGTGTGGAAATCGATTCCAAAGCACTATGATGACTTGCCGATAGGGAATGAAGAGGAGTTAAAATTGAAAGGCATTTCTGTAGTTTTCCTAGTCCGCCTTACTTGAACCTAAGATATATTCTGTGAATTGGACAAAGTAGATAATCTCCCTAAGAACCTGTTCGACCCAGCAACAGTATTAAATAGAAAAGGTGAGCAGGATCCAACATAAACAGGTGGTTGACCTGTTTTCAAATATATGAAGTGAAATAAAAATGTTTTGAAGAGCATTATAGTAGGTGCAACCGCCGCTGGGGACCTCATACAGCCTTTGGAGAAAGGGCATGATAGCACAGTGTCAACTCTGTGCACCGAGGGTTCTCGTCCTTAATTAGTAAATGTCGCGGTCAATTTCGTCAATACTGCAATTTATTCTTTTCCTATGCTGTTAGATAGATTTTCCATTCAATTTTTTATTTGTGAACGTCATTTAGTTAAGTTCTGCATCAATTTTGTAATTGTTGCATTCGATTTCGTGAATTCCCTAGTGTACGATGTTTTTAGTCGTACAAATAGCGTCAGAGCTTCGAATGAGAAACATATCCGTTTGCCATGCCGAGGATAGCCAGTCAGTGATCCACCCACTATACGCCAGGAATAGGCGCCACCAACATGGAGCGCTTTTGCCAATTCTTGAATTCCTTGGGAGCGCTTTTGCCAATTCTTGAATTCCTTGGTGAACCGTTTTTGGTGTTGAGGAACGAGGCATCGGAAACATCGGCTTCGTGATGGCCAGTGTTCGATTTTTACAAAGCTCAGGGGAGCGCTTTTGCCAATTCTTGAATTCCTTGGTGAACCGTTTTTGGTGTTGAGGAACGAGGCATCGGAAACATCGGCTTCGTGATGGCCAGTGTTCGATTTTTACAAAGCTCAGGTGAGGGAGATTCCCCAATAGATTTTAAATGGAATTAAGAGGCAAATTCATAAAAATAGGTCGAGACAAAATTGAGTGCAAAGTTCACAAAATTGGGCAATGTGAACGGAATGGGGCTTACAACTGTGAAATTGACCGTAAATCCAGAAAATAGAATGGGAAAAAGGACAAAAACAATTGCAATATATGTGAAACCGATTTCAATGTTTACAAACAGAAGTGCAAAACTTTAATATGCCAGTTGAGCTACACACGCTAGTGCATGTATCAGATACTTATGGTGTTGGCGGAATTTCTCTCCGATGCCTCAGGTTCGCTTTGCGGCCAATTAGTAGGACTCCATATTTTTCTTGACTGCCTTCCTTTTTGTTTGGTCTCGATTGTTTCTTTCTGCTTTTTTGTTTTGTGTTAAATAAACTTAGTGTTCAGAATGGCTTCTTTTCTATTATCGACGATCAGGAGGCACTGGGATTGAAGAGAGTGGCCAGCAAATGTCGTTGATCAAAGGATTATCTAACTCACAATTTGCGTGTTCCATTCTTTCATCGCATTTCTGCGATACGCAGAGGGCGCGGCATGCGAGACGTGATGTCCGGGGAGAAGGTACCGAACCTGTGCGGGAGAATGCCAATGAAAGAGGTCGGGGAGTAAACCATACAAAAGGCTAAAAATCGAAAAAAGAAGTATGTATTAGATCCGTCTATCCATACTACCATTTTGTAGAGCTTGGGTAGCTGAGTTCCAAGTCGTGTACAACGCTTGAGAAAAGTAGCTTTGCCCAAACTACCTGGAACCAAACGCAGTAATTAATTCGCAGTCTTTTCACAATCTCAAATTCCTGGGGGTAGTCATTATAAGTATAACTCATTCGACTTCTCTTTCCTCTCCTTTCTTCTTCTTTTTTCCCCTTTCTACTTGTTCCTCTTCTTTCTTCGTCTTGAATATTATGCAAATGCTCGTTTTACTGAAATTTCACAGCACACCAAGAAACCATACGTCATTTTAAAGTCAGCTGGCCTCGTTCCGTAGCAATTCTTTTTTTTCGAAATCAGTTCGACATGAAAAATGCATGTCATGAGTGTTAACTGTATAGCTCATTGCTGAAGCACCAGGTCACCCCTAGCTAGCCGTTCTATGATATATGTGAATACGAACACGCTTCACATTTATTATAGAACGGCTAGCTAGAGGTGACGTGGTTGATAGCGCGGCTATAAAAAAACTCAAAAAAAAAACTTAAGAAGCTTGACAAACCCACCCCTCAGCTCTCCATTGTTCTTCTCAAGGTGCACCATGTATTTACAAAGACGTGAAAACAACCACTGAATGAGTACCAGACTTTATTCCACAGGTGCAGTAGCCTTCGTTGTTAATACATACGTGTACCTATGTATTAAGAACAAAGGGTACTGTATCTGAGGTATGAGATCTGGAGCGTATTCAATATCCGTTTTCGTGCCTCGCGAAGGCTTGATTCAACTTGTTCGTGTTACTACTCAAAAGAAAAATTCTAGGCAATTCCAATGGAAACTATTGGACAGGGTGTCCTACAATGGAACGAGGATGGCAGAGTATTGTCGAAGGAACAGAAGCAATTCTACGAGAAAAATGGCTATCTTCTCATAAGGAACTGCGTGCCCAGCTACGAGCTAGAGCGCTATAAGCGAAGATTCAAGGTAACCGATTTCCATTTTTTACAACGAAAAGATATGAGATTCTACAACTAAGTCGCATTCTTAGTTTTAGTAGAACATTATGAAGCTGACAACATATAGTCTTACAGAAAGACCTCTCGAAGCCCGACGGCTTTTTCTTCCATCCAAAGCAGTGGTGAAAATTCCATTCCACTTTCCAAGATTCCCTCCTCATGCACACGAGCTTTTATCTATCGCCCGATAACGCTTCTACATATAGTGGTAATTAAGGAATTATCACCCGTCATCCTTGACCACTTTTATCGGACACTGAACCTGAACGTCTGCAGAGATTAGGACGGTTTCCGCGAAGGGTTCTCCACCATCAATTAAATCCATGTGATTTCGCAGCTCAAGGAGGCTTTTGACAGGGTTGAACAACAAGCAGTTTTGAATGCCCTTGCCACGTTCAGAGTTCCTTCAAAATATGACGAAATAAGGCGGGAATGCAATACAAATTGTTGGACTGACATCAAACAACCCAGGAATCCGATCCATGTTGAGATTGCGATGTACGAAAAGCCGAAGTGATTACTCCGAAGTTGTTCAGTGCTTTCATAGAGCTTATAAAACAGTGAGCTCTCAGGCTTTTCGAACGCTGACCACTTTCTTCAGTGGGTCGCCGAAAGCATCAAACTTGTTTACATCAGTTCCAGCGTGAAATGAGTAGCAACTTCAGTGTTCTTCTTAGGAGAGGCAAACAGAAGGTGCATTTCGGCGAACTGAGGGACGGCCTCTCCAAAATGAGCGAATACGGTAATGCGATACCTTCATTCGCAGTAAAAGTCTTGGCATAGGGATTTTCGAGAGTTAATTGCTTGGACCTTGTACTAGTAGCGGGATTGAAGATATTAAACAAAAACGTACAATTATAGAGATGCTTTAGGCAAGAACTTCCAAATTACATTAGCTCTACCCTCACACAACACTGAATTAAAAAAGAGGCTAATATCCTCAGTATAATATAGCAGCATCAGACGATCTCACTATTTTGTATGTTGCAGGACCTGTGCCAGGGTAAAGATGTACCGATCAACATGACTGTGATGAGAGACATAGCCATTGCCAAATCCGAATTTGTTTCTGGAGAGAAGGCTATCACCAAAGTGCAGGACTTCCAAGACGATCCTGTGCTGTTCGATTACTGTCAATACAAGGGGGTAACGTCAATTTTCTATGCAACATTTTTATTTACTATAACGCATGTTATAGGTTAGAACCGTTAAGTATAAAATTGTGCTGATATTTTTTTTAAAAGCACGGTCTTCAGGAATAGTACTGAAAAAGAGCTTAGCTTTGTTCTCATGTTCATAAAATACTGCTCTTCGGTAAAGACGAAAACTTCGTTGCCTGGGGCTAGATAATAATGAAGGTTCCATCATACAGAATCCTCTGGAAGACTGTACTGTAATTTGAAGTACTGCAACTACACTTTTTTTCATACATCGTTGAAAACTTCAACCAATGGAGTCAGCTCTTTCCAAGGCGCTTCAAGCATTGATTTTCCAGCATATTTCGTACCCGCAATCAGATTAATTTGGAATCTTCTCATAGATAGCCTCTCAGTGAGCCTGCCGAATGAGGTTCTATACGGGGTTATGGGTCTTCTAGTCAAATTAATTTTGAGAAATATATACACGCAGCTGTGCAGCTGGGAATCGAGATGATCGAACGAACTTGTATAGTGAGTGGGCCTTTGAGTAGGTCTTTCACCGTTGTCCACATGAACACCGTTGCGGTTGGTTGAGCTTATTTTCTGGGAAATTCATTTTCAAACATCTCTGTCCATGTCGCCATGTGTTCCCAATAACGATTCTAATCTGCCAGCTTTCATCGGGCACCTTTCTAGAAGAGAAGTCAGAATACCTGTGCAAAATTCGATTCTACTAAAGGCTTAGTTGATGATGAATTTGAGGTGCCTTCTCCAGTAAAAAGCATATGCAACAGTGGAAAGCAAATGCGGGTGGCTTGCTACCCAAAATTAATCCTTGCTCTTACGCCAGGGACCGCGCTACGTATTTCGTAGTTCAAATCCTTTTGGTGAGGAAAGGCTGTATACAGGAAAGAAAACCCGTGATGTGACATGTTCTTGGTTCTACCTATCAGGAATATAATTGGAACCTTTTTTTGTTATGTACACACGCATATAAAACCATATGCGCAAAAAAAGGCGCAAGGAAGACTAGAAAGACGCAAAATGTTCGGAAGATCACCTGTGAATTCAACTCAATAAAATTCAGCATTTTAGGTTGTCGATGTTGTCAAAGATCTGATTGGGTCGAAGAATTCTAATCTTCTTGCAATGCACACGATGCTCATCAACAAGCCACCGGACAGCGGTATTTTTTTTTTTATGAAACTGATCCGAAATATGATTGAAACTGATCTCTGTTGCTGTGTGCTCAGAATTTCTCGACTTATTCAAAGAGAAGCTAGCGGTAGCGGACGTGATTTGCACATTGATGCACACACGATCTGGGCGACCACTAAGAACAACACTATAATAAAATGTTGCATATTTATGCAGTACATCTGCCGTATCCCATGGTATCACTATAAATGCTCCATGGGTGCAACGCACCATGCATTTAAGTTATGTTTAATAAGTTCCAGCCATTCAGATTTGTGATTGGTACATATCACTTGAAAGAAATGTTTATAGGTAAGCTCACTTCTCGACACCCAATGCATCAGGATTTACACTACTTCCCCTTCCGACCGGCTGACTTTATCTGCTGCGCATGGACGGCTATGGAGAGAGTGAATTTTGAATAGTAGATGTAGCTACGGTTAATGAGAGTAACAGAGATCCTTCAGGTAAACCGTGCTAATGGCTGCCTTGTGGTAGTTCCTGGGACACATAAAGGTACACTGCTGCCGCACAGCTATCCAAAATGGGAGGTAGGTCATCGTATTTCAGCGAATGAAGGTGGTGCAGGGTGTAGGCATAGAGCTTTCTCTTTTTTAAAATTATAAGATTTCCGTTTGGATTGCAGTAATTCTACGGAGAAGCCTACTCTGTCAGTTAGTATAATAATATTACTATATATAAACTTGATGTCAAGATACGGAAATGCTCAGGGAGGCGTGAACAAGGCTTACCACGGCATCCAAGATTATGACACATCGATGCCACGGCTGCATGTGGAAATGGAAGCTGGCGATACAGTCTTTTTCCATCCGATACTTATTCACGGATCTGGAGCCAATAGAACCGAAGGTAAAAGTGTGCAGAGCGAGTACTTTTGTTTTTCTTTGACTGCGCCTTCATTTCTTTTTCCCTTCGATTCTAATTCACCTCACCTTTTTAACTTTTCGTTCAACTTTCTTCTGCTATCTATTTTCATCCCATTTTTTCCCTTTTTTGTCATTTTCTCAGTCACATCTTTTCCTTCAATCTATTCTCTCTTCGTGTCCCCTTCTTGCCGTTGTCGACTTACTTCTAGTTCGCTATGCCGTACTATTGTGTTGCGCTAAGATTAATGGAACATTTGAAGGCACAGTTCACGATAAAAATTGTTTTCAAGGTTTCTCCATAGGATGAGTTCGAGCCCCCCACGTGCGGCTCTCGATGATCTGCGGCATATTGTTGGAATAACTTTATTTGTACAACTCCACCAGGTTTACCATACCTTAATGATTAACGTTCCGCTTGAACCACCTTCCTCTGAGTCTTTCTTATAAACAGAACCGTCTCTCGTGAGCGACGTAGAACTCGAAACAGCCAACGCGAGAGCCGGCCCTGCTTATCAGGGAGGCTCAGACGAAGGTGGTTTCATCGAAACATCAGCCTTTAGAGTGATGTAAACTTCGTGTGGAATTGTACAAATAAAGTCAGTTCGAGGTCCTCTCGAATACCATATCAAGCGCTGCTAGGTCGGAAAACTGCGTAGTTTGGGAGTTACGAAAGCCCGAAAATTGCACCGTGTGTATCTTCGGACGAGATTCACAGGACTGTGGAGGCTACAATGATCACAGGGGAACCCATGCAGAAAGGACCTCGAGATCTAGGTACAACACAACCTAATGGTCACCTCGAGTTGGGCTGCATTACGACCGTGTATAAGCAGCAGTAACCGTATCTGTGTTCCAGGCCTTTTTCAAACAACTTGTCATGACACATAGCGACAGTGAGAGACAGTTTTGTACAGTTTTGGCTTGCTGTAGTTAGCTCTTTGCGCGATTACAACATCTGAAATCTCCGAGTACCCCCCCCCCCCCCCCCCCCCCCCTCCTCATTGAGTGAACTTGTTCGGTGTTCGACCTCGGTTCATATCTTCAGTCTGAAAAAAAAACCTGCAGCATTTCATTCAAGGCTTGACTAGAAGCTGCTTTGCTGCATAATCTGTTGTAGCTGCAAATTCTGAATCGAATCTTGCATCTTGCGGAAGAAAAAACAAGCGGAAGTTGCGGAAGTTACGGGACAACCTCACATTACAACTCTGCCTTATTTCTATTTTTCTGAACATGCTCTCTTTGTTTAAGACCCACATATTCACATATGAACTGATCCTTTCAGGTTTTCGTAAAGCAATATCTTGCCACTACGCCAATGACGATTTGTGTAGATATATCGACGTTAAAAACTCCACACAAGAGGTGAAATATTTCAGTAAAACGAGTAAGAATTGCTGCTAGTCTTGGCAGTAAAATTCTTTCCGAATTTCGGTAACTTGATCCCCATTCTCTGTGATTGATCTCTTTTGATCCTGTGATCCTTTTCTCTTCCGTTTTTTCTTCTTTTATTCTTTTCTTTCCTGATATCAGTAAAACATGATGGAGAGCTGGCGTGATGGAAAATTTTTGCACTGATTTTGAAATGTAGAACTTATGAGCGAGTTGGTCAACCCCTGCATAGTTAATGGTGTGTCCGAAGAATTCAGTGGTTCTTTTCAAATAAAATAACTAGAACAACAATGTTAGATAAGTAGTCGGGAGAGTGACCTTTTTTAGCTACAGTGTCTCTCCATGGCCGGACGACACTGATGCTACTCTTTCGAAAGGAAGACGGGTGCGATGCCCTAATTTCATCCAGTGCCTAATTGACTTCCTGATGGTTGCTGAATTTTTTCTCTTCAGGGCCAG